CATATTGCCTCCAACAACAATCCGGGTCCTCATTTTACCCACCTCGGGAGGATGGAAGACTGAATCAACCTTGAGCCGGTGAGATTTGAACAGCCGAACTACAGAACTGCAGTCAGCTGAAGTAGCCTGCAGTGCTGCATTTAACCACTGCGCCACCTCAGCTCTATAAATCATGGAGACAAGAAAACCATTGCTATTTATGTCTTATAAATTTCTCAAGTATGACTATCAACTCACTCACCATTGTTTGGAATGTATTGCTGTATTTATATGTGACCAAAAAAGAAGGAATACAGATCTCAATATGCAAAATATACTTTTCTAACTACACAAAGTTATCCTTATCAGGTTCTAGTGAACTGCAGATACAGTCTGATGATTCTCCATTCCTGCCTTTCTTTATTTTTGTATCTCATTGGGCTGAGAGCAAGGGACATTTTGCTTTGGTTTTAGTTCAGTTTACTGTAAATAGCATACGTATAACAGAGTGCCAGTTTGGTGCAGTGGTTAAGATATCAGGCTACAAACTGGGAGACTGTGAGCTCTAGTTTTGCCTTAGACAGAAAGCCAGCTTGATGACCTTGGGCCAATCACATTCTCTCAGCCCTGGGAAGCAAGCAATGGCAAATCATTTCTGAACATCTTGCCAAGAAAACTGCAAAGACCTGTCCAGGCAGTTGCAGGAGTTGACACTGATTTAAAGGCCTCCCCACAAAAAAACCCAGTGTTGTTCAGACCAGAGGTGGGTTGCTGCTGGTTTGGCCTGGGTTGGGAGAAACAGTAGTAGCGGTGGCATGAGGCTCCGCCCATCTGCCCGGACGCCTCTGCTCATGCACAGAAGCATCGTGTGCATGTGCAAGGGAACACAACCCACCTCTGGTTCAGACATCAATTCTAGAGTTCGAATTTATTGATCAACTAAATGAACTCATTGATCATTGCAATCAACCATTGCAAAGGTTTTTCAATGGCAAAAATCTATGTTAATTAACCTGAAATTTGAGGGATGGTCTCATACGATGAGCTGGTCTTGTAAATCTAACAAAATTGCAACTTGTTAGATTCAACTTTGGGTACCGGGCAGTCTTATTCAATAATAGTAATAGCACTTAGACTTATATACTGCTTCACAGTGTTTTACAGCCCTCTCTTAAGCAGTTTACTGAGTCAGCATATTGCACCCAACAATTTTGGCTCCTCATTTTACTGACCTTGGAAGGATTGAATGCTGAGTCAACCTTGAGCCTGGTGAAATTTGAACTATCAAATTTCAGGCAGTCAGCAGACGTAGCCTGCAGTACTGCACTCTAACCACTGCACCACTGGAACTCAGTGGTTCTTAAGTGGTCATAATTCTTCACCATGTCACAAATGCCCAGATATTGGGTTCATGGGCACAAGGACAATTTCAGCAGTTTTCCCACTGTTTGTCTCATTGTACACAGGTTGTGCATTGACAATAAAAGATTTCAATTGAATTGACCTTTTGTATGAAAAGTGAGACAATTTACTTAGTGAAGCCGTATAGATGAATAGATGGATTGTCTTGATTTAAGAACACAAGATTAATCGCAGATAGCAGAAAGCTTTATCTGGGAAGAATCACTTGTTGGCATCTATCTTCAAATTATCTGTTGATGTTGCAGTTACTGA